TAAACATTATTATACTCTAAAATATTACTATGTCATTGAATGAAAGTGTGGGGATGGTATGGATATATTTTTAAGAACACATTCAGTGATTCTATACACCCTCATAGAATCATCATAAGCTGCTCCATGTCTCACCTGCCTTGAAGCTCATCGCTTTCAAGGTATAAGCTTAAATTGCAGTATGATCCTAGAGATAGAATTTTGCAGACAGTGGACTTTTTTATATATACTGGGACATTTCGCTGCAAAGATAATTTAATGACAGTTTTTTTAAGTTCACTTTATCATGTGTTTCTGTATATTTATTTAGGTCACTGTCAATCTCTCATGTTACTGGAGGCAGGGGAATGACAGGTATAGAAAGCTTGGGTCTTCCCAACGTGGATTATGTAAATGACTGAAAAGCTTCCCTATCCCTCCACCACCCAGTCTCATCTGCCCCTTCATTCGACTGGGCTGTAATTTATGGCTTGGGCTGCTTATTTGTTCAAAGCAAATCCCTGAAGGGGTGACCTCCCGATGTCTTCAATTATTACTTTCAATGATGCCTTAAGCAACTGCCTGGCACAGCAGTGCCCTCACCTTCCCGCCTTCTGCCTTGCAAGCATGGAGCTCAGCTGCCAGGCTGGCTATGCCCCCATCTCATCCCCAGAGCTGTTTCCCAAGTGGTGGACCCCTCCCCACCTGGTGAGCCAGATTAACCCCCCTTTGTTAGTAGAGGTAATTTGCCTGGGTTTAGCATTAATAAGGAATGGCCCCAAGCAGTTGGGGTCAAAAAGAACAGACCTGTCAGGCCCCAAGGTTAATTTAATGGCAATCTGTTGGCTGTCTGGGTTGTTCTGGGTTGTGCATTAGACATGAGCTCAGTGATATCTTTTGCTGTTTAGTTCTTTGGAAAACAGGGAAATAATTTAGATAGAGTGCTCAAAAGGACCAGATGGAGAAAATTGACTGTCAAAATACATCATCCCATTTTCCAGTAATGCAGGGCACCTTTCATTGCTTAGCGCCTTTCTCCCTCCTTCCCAGTATGAAGAGGGAAGCATGTATGCTAGCTGCAGCCACACATCTCCCTTTGGAACCTGAGAGAGAAATGACCTGGGTTTCTGGGCATCAGTGTGGGTTTCCTCCCCACACTGACTCAGAAGACATCAAATATTACGAACTAGACTCTCTCACACATTTCTAGACTTCAGCAAAGTCTTCTCTTGGAAAATAGGACAAGAAAGCCACTGTCTAGTTTTTCGTCCCAACTTCTAGTTCAAGCAAATGAATGATATCACAGGACACAACAGTTCTGGCTATAGAAAATACCATCCCAGAAATGTAATTGGAGATATTTCAGGGGCATAAGTCAAAAGAGAGCTCTCTCTCTCTCTCTCTCTCTCTCTCTCTCTCTCTCTCTCGGAAGCCAGTCATTGTCCCTCTAGAACCAGACAAACCCACTCATGGAAACTGTGGCCTCCTGAGGCCATTCCTCACAGAATACAGTGTGGCTGCATGTGAAGAATCCAGGCACAAGCCTGAGTGCCAATCCCAGCTCTACCACACACAGTCATATGGCCCTAAGAAATTTACCTTAGAGGTCAGCAAATTTCTTACCACCAAGACTGAGTTCAATCCCCAGGAACCCCAAAGGGGAAGGAGAAAAACCAACTCCACCAATGTCCTTTGCACACCTTGGCATATGTGTGCACATACACACTCTCAAAATAATGCAAAGCCATGGCCACTCAGATGACACCAGTTAAGCTCACTGGCTCTCAAAAACATAAATAAACAAAAAACAATTGCTTATGAATATGGAAAAGGAACATAAAGAAAGGATGAAGGGTGGGCAGTGGTGGCGCATACCTTTAATCCCAGCACTCAGGAGGCAGGGGCAGGTGGATCTCTCTGAGTTCAAGGCCAGCTTGGTCTACAGAGCGAGTTCCAGGTCAGCCAGGGCAACACGGAGAAACCCTATCTCAGGAAAAAAAAAAAAAAAAAGATGAGAGGATGATAAGAGCAGGAGGGAGACAAAGGAGGGTGGGGTCAAAGTAACCAAAATGTAATAAATACACGGATGAAAATGGCAAAGAACAGATTTAAGAAACAAAAGTTTTTCCTGATTAGAAAGAAAAATTTATTTCATCTGTTCTGTCAGCTGTAAAATAGGACTATTAATGGCACTGTCTTCATCTACCTGGAATGGAGAAAAAATGAGAATATAAGACACTTAGTCCAAGCAGGATCAACACTTGGTAAACACCAGCTACTGGTGGTTGTGCTAAAAAAAGGGATAGAATCATGGCTTCTTCCTTTGGCCAAACTGGAGTCAATCCCTCCACCCCCGGAGCACTGTATCAGGAGGGAGACTCAAACCTTGGAGAAGAATCAAGTGGCTTCAGATGAAGGACAGATGGGTGAGAAGCAGAGCACACCTAGAAACAGTGGACAGAGGCAGATCCTCAGGACATTGGTCCAGGAAGATGTCCTTGGTGGTGGGAGGATGCTCCTGGAGGCACAGATATGCTTAGGCACATTGTTTTCTCATCTTCTGACTTTGGGACTTTATTTTTAGGTAGAAAAAATAGCTGGGGCTGTAGCACCTCCCTCGCCCACACAGTGAAGATCTCTTCCAGTGCAGCTTGTTTGCTGAGCTATACTGGTAGAGGCTGAGAAAGCTGACACCAGACTTTCTCTCCTTACTTTAGAAAAGGGGGAATATGCTTGCTGGCACTGCAGGGTATGGAACAACTGAACACAAACCCCTGTTTACCCTATCCTGTGGCATACCTGCCAAGCCCAAGGCACAGGTCAGCAGCCAGAAAGCACATCAGGCCTGCAGCCTGCAGCCCCTCCCAAGCTGCTTGGGCTTGAGCTCCAGGTGTGTATCCCAAATGCAGAGGCTAAATTGAGAGGTAGTAATCTGCTAATCCAGGAATATACATGCCCTGCTGAACCAAGTCATCTTTGTATCCAGTTTTGGTGGATGAAAATGTGCCAAAAGGCAATGTTAATACAGGCTCATAATAGTTTTAGAAAGAATACAATGGGATGCCTACAAGATAAATAGCAAGAGGCACAGCCCCATGCAAAGCCATTGGAACAAATCCCATATGGCAACAGATCTAGCTGGAACCTAGGTGGTGTTTGCTAGTACGTGTCTACATTTGTTACGACATGGCTACCTAATTGGTGCTACTAGGGCTTAAAATATGAGCATTTTGCATGTCTGTGCCTGTCTCCATGCCGAAGAGGGAGCAGTGTTGCTGCTTAGGCAAAAGCATCTCTAGGATGATCTGTGTCAAGCTACCTATTCGTTCATACAACACATTTTTTTCCAAAGTGTGGCACAAAGATTCCTAGCACATACATTTTCATTTTAATCACTATGTGTCCATTTTCACATAGATAATTAAATCCATCATTTTGTGAATGTTGGCTTACTGCTTAGACGAGGTGAAAGAGTGAGGGCAATCTAAAGAAAACTGGAGAGAGAGAGAGAGAGAGAGAGAGAGAGAGAGAGAGAGAGAGAGAGAGAGAGAGAGGGGGGGGGCGG